ATATATAATATAGGTGTCACTGTGTTTTAACCTGCGCTCACTGTGAAGGTTAGCACACAGTGGACAGCCGCTCTGACACCGCTAATGGTTTGTGGTTTTTCTGCTCTCGGCTGTGATAACCATCGGCACTTAATGCCATGCCGGCACTTTAGATAATGAACGGTCTTGGGTGAGTGCACAGAAGGTGCCAACTTTGAAAAGCAGAGGTGATTTAAATCTTTTAAGCTTTGAAGAGAAGGGATCAAATAAACCCGAAAAATGAAATGTGATTTTCTTTATAATTCCATTTTTCTTTACTCTGTGACTGCAGATGATTGACTTGGGGCTGCTCCTCCACCCTGGCTCGTATTTCCGTGACCTGTGGAACATTCTGGACTTCATCGTGGTCAGTGGAGCTCTGGTGGCCTTCGCCTGCTCGTAAGTTCACAGCATTTTCGATTTCACCTTCGAGCCAATTGGAAATATGGAGTCACAGCGAGAATTGTTTTGAGGATCACTTTTGCGTTCCCTCTCGGAATGTTTTGATTTATCTTGCGGTAGTTTCCCGCTCCGCTCGTTCTTCTGAGTTTCTCCTGACAAGATCCAGATAGTGTCCCGTGTGAGAACACAGCAGGAGATTCTCTGGAGATCGTTGTGTTGCCCGAGCTGCACTCTGAAAGGTATCGGGAGGTAACGCAAAAGAAATCCTCGACATTCTTGCTGAGACGCTTCTAGAAAATAAGAAATTATCCGTAGCCTCCGTGTAAACAGAGTTAATGATTCCCATGAAACTTGCAGCGTTGCATTCTGGGTCTCTGGCGTTCAAATACTCTGTTTCAACCAGCAAGGTCATTTATTTGGCCTCCACCCACCAGTGTTTCAAACCCACTGAATGTCCTGAAGTTCTGCAGTTTGTCTCCTTGTGTGTTTTTCTTCTCCTCTGCTTTATATTGATGCTTCTCACTGTCTTTTATCTGTTGCTGACTTTGTCTCTGTCTTTTACTTTCTTTCCCTCTTTCTTTCTACTCTTTCTTTCTTTTCTGGCTTGGATTGCTTTCAGGAGCCTTATGGGGTAATGCCTGCTCTCTCTGCCCGTTTTTATCACTCCGTCCACGTGCTTGTCTTCCTGTTTGTGTCTCCTGCTTTTTCTTCCTGTCCTTCTCAGCCGGTTTACCGACACGTATTCATGTTTTCAACAAATGTCACATTTTGTTATTTTGCTTTTCTTATCATCGGCGCCACAGTCGCAATCAAAGACACTGACATTTACTCTGTTTGTGTTACGTAACGGTGTTTGTGTTCAGGTTGCGTAAGTGTAATTACCCGTTCTCCATTTATCGCACATATCTTATATGTGTGTGTCAGTTGGAACAATAAACACAAAGCTCAGTGTGGCAGCACAGCGAATAATAATACGTCTCGGACACATTTTCTCAGGTGATCCAGGATTTTCTGGATATTAGAAAAGATGCTAATTGAAATCCATTAAACGGTGAATCATTGCTATAAGACATTTCTTCCCAATCCACTGTTCATTTCTAAACATAACAAAGTTCTTGAAAGTATAATTAAAATTCTGTCTTTCTGTCCTCGTGTCCCTACACACAATATTTCCTCAGACTCGTCTGTCTCTGGTTAATCGGTTTAATTGCTCCGGTTTTTCTTTTCATTGTGACGTCAGTTTAAAAAGCTGAATAATGTCTCTGTACCTTCATGTCTGTGTGAAATCTGCTTAATATCTTTATTTTCCTCTGTTTTTTCTTTATCTTCTCATTTGCTCTTGTTTGTGTGGGTGGTTGTTTGTGTTAATGTGTGTGTGTGTGTGTGTGTGTGTGTGTGTGTGTGCGCGCTCATAATCGCTTTTTCTCATCAGATCCCAACAAAGCGTGGCCAGGTGGGAACTGCCCCTCTCTAACTTTAACTTACTGACCCTCCCTCCCTCTCCTTGTCCCCCACATGTGAAAGAGAGAACGCTCCTCCTCTTATCAACCTCTCCATCCCAACGTGTTTGGGATACGACCCTGACCTCCTCCCTCCTTCCTCTCCTCCCTGTTAGAAAAGTAACGTCCCGTCCCAATATTGGGGCGACGAAATAAAAAGACAATATTGGGAACTCCAAGTCATAGCTTTCAGAAGACCAACATAAATACAACAATACAAATCTAACACCGACATACACACAGAAATACTCAGTTTATATATATTTGCACATGATTCAAAATTGAGCATGCGATTTGATTTTCCTGCAGCACGTGAACCTGCTCGATGCGGAGCCTCGTGCGTCCTGTGAAAAAGCTTCTGATTGGACGTCAGCTCTTAGCGTCCCTGAACAGGAAGTGCTCGTCAGCTGAGAGGATCAGTGATGATGACCTCATATGCCAGGCTGCTGAGCACATTAGGCTATCAGTGCTGATCTGTGCCTCACTGATGTGAACACACAACCTTGTACGCACACGCACACGCACATTACATCTTCCTTGCCTGCGGCTCTTCTGAAAGCTATTGGGAGACTGTTCTTGCCGTCTCAATGTGTCGAGGTCCTTGAATAGCGAGGACTGGCATTGACTTTGCAGATTGCATGCCAGGATAACCAAGTCATCTGAGCATGAGAGCTGCATGCCTTTTTGTCAGACGTAAGAGTTTTTCCACTGAGAAAGGAAAAAGAAGAACGCCCCGAGGCCTGAAACGTATGGAACCAGGCTCCTGTTCGAGCTGCGTCCTGCCTCACCCACTTTATAATGAGGCACAGATACGAATTCATGACATAAATTAAAACAGCAGCCGAAACTGTGGTTTTCCTTCAATCCATGAATCCACCGGATTGGTCTTGCCGAGTGGAAGAGACCAGAGAAGACAGAGCTACTTACTGCCGCTCCTTTATTGTAACTGTACAAAAGAAAGCTTGACATTAGAAAAGAGTAGTACACAAGCTTTAAATCAGATCCTGGAAAAAGAACCAAATCAAATCATAAGTAATAGCAGTTGGATATTAATTGATTTCAATTAAAGGGATCTATAAGCTGTTCTAGACGTTATCTTTTCTTGCTTTTGTCCCTTCGCAACCTTCACACATGAAACTGTCGGTCGTGCTCATCCACAGATATTTGCACACTCTTGATTCGTACGTCTCAGAATTCTTTAAAGTGGAGAAGAAACGACTGAGAAAGCGTTTCTGTCCATGTCGTGTGGTTGTGTGACTAATTAATTATAAATCCCAGTGTCCTTGGCCAATGTCAGTGTGTGAGTGAGTGATGGCTCAGCTGTTATTAGTGTACCTGTTAGTTTAAAACCCCCACAGACACTTCACACTGTTCGTAGCACAGCAACATGCAGCTCCTTCACTCTTATATATATATTATATAAACGAATGAATGAGCGAAAGAAAGAGAGACAGAGGAATAAAGGTAGAGAGAAAACAAAATAAGGAAATGAAGAAACAAATGACAATAGGAGAATAAGAAAGGAGCAGAAAGGGTGATTAAACAAAAGATGAGATGGAAGATGAGAAAGAAATATGGAAGGAAGAGAGAAAGGAAGAAATGAGGGACAATAGGGAAGACTGGAAATAAAGGAAGAGAAAGAAAGAAAGGGAGGAAATGGACAATTGAGAAGACAAGGAGAAAGATAAAGGAAGGATAGAAGGGAGGACGGAAGAGAAAGAAAGAAAGTAAAAGCCAGAAAAAGTGAAAGAAAAGAAACGATGGAAGACAGATGGAGTAAAAGGAAAGAAGAGAGGGAAAGGTGGATTCGCCAACAGATGAATGTAATAAATCGTAATGTAAAGAAGTGATGACACAATATTTAAATCATCGTGTATTTGAACTATTTTTAAAGAACCTGAGTAAAAGTGCTCGTCAGTGTTGAATCTTCCCTGCAGCATGTTTCTGTAACATAACACCACACTCACTTGCATTGCTCTACTAACAGTATAAAGAAGTACTACTGGTACACACTGTACTGTGCGTACTACGGCTCTCGCTCCCGGGGGCTGGGATGAGAGGGTTTACATGATTATCGGTTGCACTGCGTCACCCGAACTAATTCTCTCTCTCTCTCTCTCTACGTCTGCGCAGAGGGACCAAAGGCAAGGACATCAACACCATCAAGTCCCTCAGGGTCCTCCGGGTCCTGCGGCCACTCAAGACCATTAAACGTCTGCCCAAGCTGAAGGTACAGTAATCCGATCTGTCACCCCAGCGAGTCTATTCTGAGAAGACGAAAAAATACGGCGAGAGAGCAGCTGGGGCAGCGTTCGATGAGAAGTCGCTCTCACCGATCAGGAATCAGTTTACTGTGTAACGTCTCTGTATTTCGAACAGGACGTCTCATCTGAAGTCTGTTGCTCTGGGTTATGAAGGAGTTCAATTTAATTTCTTTATTATTACTATTTATTTTATGTTGCAGCTCCTCCTCTCAGCTCCTGTCTCTTTAAGAACCCGCCCCTCCTGAGAACGCTCGCTCTGATTGGCCCGCTGGCTCACTCTGTGCCGTGATTGGTCAACCCGAGTCGGTTGCGCCGCGCGTGTTTCGGTTACTTTTCCCAGCAGCCCCCTCGTAAGTGTCCGTAAAACGTCAGCGCCGGCTCTCGTGGGAGCAAAGCAAGAAACATTTCTTGATCACGTAACAGGACAGAAGAAGAAACAGCACCACCCTCAGTCGGGGAGGGAGAACAACAATAACAGAGGACGCACGAATGGATTTAGACCCCGACTCTGAGGTGACAGCTTCCCTCTGGTGCGTGACGGCGCCTGATCATCCAAACGTAATGACTCCGACAAAAGATCTGATCGGAGTAATGGAAGTGAGACGACAGGGACGGAATCAGAGCTGACGGAGACGCGCTCGTCCACAACTCCTCCTGGAGACGTGGACGGAGGAGTTTGACGGACAGGCCGGTGGAAGATTGGAGAATTACGCTCCGTGCTCGCTCTGACTCAATCACCAGTCTGCGAATTAATTGGTTAGATTGGACATGAGTCAGCAGAGATGGACAAAGAGCTGAGTCATCTCTCCGACAGATCAGAGGCAGGCAGAGAGAGAGAGAGAGAGAGGCAGGTAGAGAGACATAGAGACAAACATAGAGTTTTCTTTACCTGGAATTTTTATGAAAACATATAGTTTCATTTAGATGCTTTTGAAACTATTAATTTCGAAATTGTTTTAGACCAAGACATGTAGACATCTTTACGTCTTCGTCGAGTGTAAGTGTTCGTTAAGGCATCTAAAACTTTTTGACTGAGGTTAGCGGAAAGATCGCCGCTGTGGCTTCATGATCGTAATGGAATAATTCGGGAGAAGTTTTCAGTAAACTGATTCCTCGGAATGAACTTTCTGTCAGAAACAAAATGAAGGAGCTGGTTTTGTGCTGCAGGTGTCGGTTTTTAATAAAATCTCCAGTCAGGTTTTTGCATTATGAATTTTTTATTTCGCTCAGTTTTTCACCTGAAATTAAAATGAATAATGGTTTTAATTTTCTTTTTGAAGAATCACGTTGCGGTCGGTGTAACCGTGACTGCGAGTCTCCTCAAAACCATGTGCGGATAAACACGTGTATTAATCCGTGTGTGTGTTTTTCAGGCCGTGTTCGACTGTGTCGTGAACTCCCTGAAGAACGTCCTGAACATCCTCATCGTCTACATGCTCTTCATGTTCATCTTCGCCGTCATCGCCGTGCAGCTCTTCAAGGGCAAATTCTTCTACTGCACCGACGAGTCCAAGGGTCTGGAGAAAGACTGCAGGCACGTCGTCCAAACCTTCACTTGTTGTTAACACCTGAATTGAACAAACTATACTTTGTCTCACGTCCCCTGTCACTGTCCCTTTAATCCCTCAGGGGTCAGTTTCTGGACTATGGCCGTGATGACGTAGCAGCTCAGCCCAGAGAGTGGAAGAAGTACGAGTTCCACTACGATAACGTTCTCTGGGCCTTCCTGACGCTCTTCACCGTCTCCACGGGGGAAGGCTGGCCGATGTGAGTGTGTCCTCTGTGCACTTTGAAAACTAAATGGATGAATGAGATGGATAGACGTAATTAAGTTAAAAATTCCGTTTAATTTTATTATTAAATCGATTTCTTTTAGCTCCAAATCACAGCATATATTATCTCAAGGCACTTGAACAGTCGTGATTAAATTATTATTCATGTGTGGTTGTGTCTGAATCACTTTCTCCGTGTCGTCAGGGTCCTGAAACACTCCGTGGACGCCACCTACGAGGATCAGGGCCCCAGCCCGGGCTTCCGCATGGAGACGTCCATCTTCTACGTGGTCTACTTCGTGGTCTTCCCCTTCTTCTTCGTCAACATCTTTGTGGCTTTGATCATCATCACGTTCCAGGAGCAGGGAGACAAGGCCATGTCGGAGTGCAGCCTGGAGAAGAACGAGGTGGGGGGGTGGGGGATGGCGTCTCCTCTTCATCTTCACTTCACAGGAGCTTGGTTAAAATCAGGCTGTTTTCTCTCTGTGAAGAATTGGCTGCTGATTAAAAGAGCATCTCTTCTTTTGATTTCACTAAAATGTTAAGTCGATCCTCTCGTGACTCGCCCGCTGCCTCTCCTGTTGTGAAATTTGATTTCCAGCACTCGTGTGATAAAAAGGTGTGAAGCTCCCGCATCAGAGTGGATTCACACACAATCTTCTTTTTGTGTTTCGTCGAACAGCGAGCTTGTATCGACTTCGCCATCAACGCCAAACCGCTGACGAGGTACATGCCAGAGAACAAGTTGTCCTTCCAGTACAAGATGTGGAAGTTTGTGGTGTCGCCCCCGTTCGAGTACGCCATCATGACTCTAATCGCCCTCAACACGGTCGTGCTGATGATGAAGGTCAGTGATTCAGAGGCTGTTTTTTTTAGACATGAACTCTGGAAAATGTCTTTATCATGAGTTTGTTTTTCACATGTGAAGAACGCAGCAGGTCAGACGTGTTCACAACAGCAAGCGTTCAGGCGAGGGGGGGGGGCAGGACATGTCGTATGTTTTTATTTACGGCTCAGAGACACTGGCATCGGCAGAAGTTGACATTTTTTGCCTTCTTCGTGTTTGGCTCCTCTTCGTCATCCTGGCATATTTGTTTTTTTGTTAGAAGCGACACTAACACGCCCCCTCGCTCGCAGTGAATCTGTGGAGATTGTCCGGAGCCTCTGACTCGGGACGTTTGCGTTCCCACGTGCAGATTATCCGGACGTATGAAAGCAGCTCTGTTCCTCTCAGCCTGAATTAAAGTGTCTTTGCTCAGTGATACAGTATTTATTTCCTGTCATGATACGACCCGCTGCAGAAGCTGTTTCCATGAATCGGAACCACGTAATGATGTGAAGCTGCGGTCTGGCCTTGAGACGTGGTTTGACAATTAAAAACCAAACAGCACCGACTGCCGGCTCAGCTTCAGAGAGAAGCGCGTTGGCAGCTTCATTATTCATGAACTCTCGGAGGGAATGAAACCACGGAGCAGCTCTGTACATGAAAACACCTTCAACACGATATATTGAGTTTAAATGTTTTTACCTTCTGTCCATAAACTCAGAATAATTCGTTTTAAATCAGGCAGAGTGGAGCAGTAAAGAATTATATCTCATTAGTTGAATCTGTTTAAAGATTTTGTTTATAATGTGTAATATGTAAGATATTTTATTGGACCAGGCGCAGCAGCACTCCTGGAGTTTTCTCATGTTTTGGTTGGTTGTAGTTGAGGAGGTCCCACAACCAGAAGGTCTTTGGTTCGATCCCCAGCTCAGCTCGGCGTCCACTCACTCTGCGTCTTCCCTCGTATCTTTGAACATCGTGTTTATAATCAGTGTTTTTTTCCGTTTGTCCTCAGTTCTACGGAGCTCCAGACCTGTACGAGTCGATGCTGAAGTACTTGAACATCCTCTTCACGGCGCTCTTCACGCTGGAGTGCATCCTCAAGATCATTGCGTTCGGCCCTCTGGTGAGCTGCGAGGACCGTGAGAAGGAAACTGATCCTGTGAAAAACTAAAAAAATGTCACGTCTTTTGTTATTCTTTGATTGAGAGACCCCTAGTGGCCCAAGTTACATATTGTTCGTGTAAAATGGAAGATTTTACAGAAAAAGATTTACATTTTTTTACACACAGATAATGGCGATCACTTGAAGGATTTAATTTTATTTCTAAATGCGTTGCAACCGTCGTAAAATGTTAGAAATGCTGATTAAAGGTGAAAAAATAAAGTCTAAATATTATAATATAGGAAGGAGGAAGATGAAGTAGCAACGAAAACAGGGGATGAACGGAGGAGTGCACAGAAAGAATAAATCTCTCAGCGTGGGGCCATCTGGCCTCCGGCGAAGCATTTCATCACTGGCTCCGTTCCATTTACGAGGCCCATTTATTAAATAGCTTTTCTCACACACCACTAACCTCCACCTGTTTGGCTGCTGAGCCCAGGTGGGTGGGCTCTGAGCTGCTGCTGCCGCCGCTGCTGCAGGGGCCTGGCAGCAGCCTCGGCCCCCAGGACCTGGATGATTGACCGGTCTGAGAGGATCCAGGCTGCAGGCAGCTCCACTGTGTGTTCTATATGCACATATAAAAATATTTTATGTGTGTTTTCACTTTCACCGAGGAGGTTTTCAGCCCTCTCCGTTAGTTTGTCTGCAGGATTGTTATTTCCACAACACTTGGTGGACAGACGGTAACCAGAAAAATGTTTTGACATTTTCTTATGAATCCTTCATGGGTCTTTATGAAAAAGAAATATCTGGCATACTCGCTTTTTTAATGTAGATAAACATTAGATGAAACTTCTAAATTCTTCACAGGAACAAAAACATTTTGCCCAAACCGGAAATGTCCGACCTCCATCCAACTCTGTCTGTCTAATCCACACACACACACACACACACACACATTCTCTGTCCAGTCTAATCTCTGCGTTGTTTTGCAGAACTACCTGAAAGCAGCGTGGAATGTGTTTGACTTTGTGACCGTGCTCGGAAGCATCACAGACATCCTGGTCACGGAGATCAAGGTAAGAGATGATTAAAGACCCACAGCAGAACTTAAACATGAACATGAGGAGGTCAAGTTTTTATTTTCAAAGAGTCCCACAAAAAAAAAAAAATCAGTTTCCGTTATTCCGTTGATTGAATTGTTTCCCAGTTATTTGACTAATTCCTGACTCATTATTTACATGTAGCTGTTTCCTTTTGTTTTAAAAATATATATCTGAACCAAACTATCAACTTGGATGTGTAACGTGCTGCTTTGCTGTGCTCTCGCACTCTCAGTCCTCCAATCTAAAGCTCGGCCATGAAAACCAAGAGCAGAAATATGAAAATCATTAAAAATCAGTCAATACAAACTGACCTGAAACCAGCACTTGGACATGAGTGTGAAGAACAGACGCTGGAGGAACGGAAGCCTTTGATTGGAGGACTGAGTGCTGTAGCTTTCTGTGTCGTTCTCTCTCTCTTCACGTGATCATTCGTCTCCCTCTGTCTCTTCTCTCGCTCTCTTCCTGTTTTTATTTCTCTGTGGCTCTGCTGTGTCTCTCCTGGTTTCCTCGCTCTGTCACATGTGACACCTGCAGACGGTGAGTTGCTTTTCTTGATGGCCGCTGATCTTTGTTCGTTTTTTTTCTTTCCTGCGTCAGTGTGTGTGTTGTTTTACCGAAACCTCACCGACGACGTTGTTTCTTTAGCAATGATTTTCAGTTGAATAGGAGTCGCTATTCAAAAATAACCCTAACCATGGTTCACGCCTGATTTCTACAGTTTTATTTCATGCTTCCATGCACAGAAATAGATTTTATCTCTGTTTAAAACACATGGTTTTATTCTATTATCCTCAATATGTTTATTTATGTTTACTATTATTTACTCCCACATTTATTTAACTTCCATTCATTGAATTCTTAATGTATTAAACTCTCTGAGCAAGTTTATATTCAATAATACAATCACACAAATTAGCTTATATGCTAACTTCCTGTGGCACAAAGTGAAATCCGCTACCAAGCATAAATTATTTTCTTTGCCGAAAAATACGGGATGTTAAAAGCCTATCGATCGGAGAGACTTTCCTGGTGGTGGGAAATGTTTTCGTCCTCCTGACGCTTCAACCACTCACAGTGTCTCTGTTTTCTCTCACAGGACAAAATGATCAACCTGAGTTTTCTGCGACTGTTCCGAGCCGCTCGTCTCATCAAGCTGCTGCGACAGGGCTACACCATCCGCATCCTGCTGTGGACCTTCGTCCAGTCCTTCAAGGTGAACAGACACACACGTGGTGAAGCGCACAACTTACACGGTCTCAGTGACGTGTCAGTGACGTGTCAGTGACGTGTCAGTGACGTGTCAGTGACGTGTCAGTGACGTGTCAGTGAGTAGGAGTGTGTGTTGGGATTAAAGAAAACTAAAACTCAGACTTCAGTTCAGTTCGGTTTAAAAGCTGAACCCGTGGATGTGGCACAGAATCCAAACACGCTGCAGAATCCCGGTGTTGCTGTTTGAATCACACCAAACAGCTCTCAGCAGACACAGTTAGGATTTTCACACCCTGCGCCGGTTCGCTCTCTAAATCCCCTGAGACAAGCCGAGTTAAACGCACAGCGCCCGACTGCAGCCGAGGGGAATTTACAGCGGCTTTAATGTCAGTGGTGAGAGCTTTTAAACCCAATGAAAATGGACTGTAGCTGCAGAGCGTTAAAAGGTGGCTATTTAATTACAACGAATGTTCACCTCCTCCTCGCAGAGATATAAATAGCTGGTTAAAAGAATCGACCCTGCAGCTTTAATCGTGTGTGTGTGTGTGTGTGTGCAGAGAACAGAGATCAAACGTTAGACAAAGTGCTCAGAGGGTCTTATGTGTGTCTGATGCTTTAAGTAATTGTGCGTCTGTAAATTGGTGTTCGAAACGCGTTGACGCTGTATTCGTGTTTTCAGGCTCTGCCGTACGTCTGCCTCCTCATCGCCATGCTCTTCTTCATCTACGCCATCATCGGAATGCAGGTGAGTTGGGACGTGAGCAATCCGTACCTGAAATACATGAACCTTCATTAAATGATCAAAACAAGCCACAATGAAAGTTCAAACTCTGGAAACGAAGGTGATCGTCTTCTTTTCCATTCCGTCTCAGGTGTTTGGAAACATTGAGCTGAATGAAGACACCTCCATAAATCACCACAACAACTTCCAGACGTTTTTCCAGGCGCTGACGCTTCTCTTCAGGTGAACCTGAACTTCTTGCTGGTACCGAAAAGTACCGATAACGCTCGCCGCTGCTTCCTCCGCGTTAACGTGTTGCGTTCACTGTCTTTCAGGAGTGCGACCGGGGAGGCGTGGCATGAGATCATGTTGTCGTGTCTCAGTAACCGACCGTGTGATAAACTCTCAGGAACCGTGGGGAAGGAGTGTGGCAGCGACTTCGCCTACTTCTACTTCGTCTCCTTCATCTTCCTCTGCTCCTTCCTGGTCAGCAGAACATTACACATCTGAAATTAAAGTTTTAAAACTCTTAACTATGAGGTGGAACTTTAACTTGGTCAAACTTCTCGTTCAGTTTGAAGTCGGTCGTATGAAAACCGACAGACTGAGACTTCGGGATTTATTATCACAGTATTTTATATCATTTCTGAAAACGTGTGTTTTCCGTTGTCCAGATGTTGAACCTCTTTGTCGCTGTCATCATGGACAACTTTGAGTATCTAACCAGGGACGCCTCAATTCTGGGGCCTCATCACCTCGACGAGTTCATCCGTGTGTGGGCGGAGTACGACCCGGCCGCGTGGTACGTGATCTCATTATCATATCCAGCATCTAATCGACCGCTCAAAGTCGTTACAAGTCACTTTCACCTGTTCACGCACACAATACAGTGTTTTAGGTGCTGGGGATCAAACCACCGACCTCCTGGTTTGTAGACGACCCGCTCTTGTTCCTGAGCCACAGCCGCCTCACTTTTCGAAAATACTTATTGAAAATATACACGTCCAATTCTTCTACATACGTACATATTGCTTATAAACTGTGCAACATGGAACTCTACCACTAGATGTCACTAAATCCTACACATTGAATCTTTGAGTAAAGTACGGATACATTCAAAACTTGGAAACTGATTTTCATTTCATTTTCTTTATGCTCTATTACTCGTTGACATTTCCCTGATTGTTAGTGTTTTCTGGAATAACCTGTGACCTGACTCTGTCCCGTGTCTCGTCTCTTTCAGCGGGAGGATTTGCTATCAGGATATGTACAAATTGTTGCATTTTATCTCTCCTCCTCTGGGTCTGGGGAAGAAGTGCCCTAACAGGGTGGCTTATAAGGTTTGCAACCCCTCACAGTCCCTTTGTTTTCAAAGGGGCTGGGAATGTATAACTCCCAACCCCCCCCACCGCCCTTGCGGTGCCGGAGAACGATCCGGCCGGCCTTGCGTACAAACGTGCATCGATCCTCCACTAACCAGCCCGGCAGGTAACCATGGCGAGCGCTGGAAACAATGCCGCAAGTCAGACTCCACGTGCGATGTCTAAAAGATCTTCTTCCTGCCCTCAAACACGAGAGTGAACGAAGCGTGGGCAGTGGAGAGAGAGAGAGAGAGAGAGAGAGCATTGTGTGCTTTGTTTCCACGTCGGTTACTGCTGACGTCTCTTAGCATGATCAGAGGAATACTCCACCAGAACCTCTGCAGCTGTTACTACTCGCCTCCTGTGGAAGGTGCATCTGTAAAGTTGTAGTAAAATCATTTCAAGAAACCTCTTAAAGACCTCCTGCAGAATAATCTACTCTATTGATCGAGCCGTTAATATTTCTGCTTTCGTTTGACGACCAATTAGCCTCTGGAGGCAACGGCCGATATTTCAGGGCTTCGGTTGTGGAAATCTGGGCTCAGACTCTGTTTCCTGTTCGTCGAACACAAACAGCTTTTTACACGTGTTTTACGACACTTTGACTCATCTCTGCTTTATGATACTGAGTCTATCGAGACATTTTTGGACATGAACTCCGGAAAATGTCCGAGCAATGTTGAATTATGCGACAAATGTGAATATAAAATGCTGCAGGAGTTCTTTGAGTTGTTTTTATGGACGTTTGGATCCATAGTAACTACAATCAATTCAAGCTGAATTCAAGCTACTGACTTGTTCAAGCAACTTTGCGAGCCCACAGGTGATGAGCGGTTGTTACTCATAAGATGGATCTTCAGTGGAGTATTCCTTCAACATAAAACCCACTCTTCATTCCCATCTCATTCTCTGTACAGGGAATCCTCCGGAGCATCCTCCCCTCGTCCTCTGATCCGCTCCTGAATCTGTAAATCCAGCCGGGATGGCATTTCAGATCTTCATTTCCTGGAAATCTTATTAACAAGGATTTCTGTGTCTCCCTCTTTTTTTTTTTTTTTCCCCACTTTCTGTCATGCTTCAACTCTTCCCCCTTCTCCTCCTTTTTAATCTCCATCCCTCCTCCCGTGGCCTCACTCTCGTCTTTTCCCCCGGGAAGCGGCCGCATGACTTTCCGCGATATGTACAAGATGCTCCGCGACATGTCCCCTCCTCTAGGTTTGGGAAAGAAATGTCCGTCCCGAGTCGCCTATAAGGTAGAACCACTCCTCCTCTTCCTCCTCCTCCTCCTCCTCCTCTTCCTCCTCTTCCTCCTCCTCCTCCCTCCTCCTCCTCTTCCTCCTCCTCTTCCTCCTCCTCCTCCTCCTCCTCCTCCTCCTCCTCCTCCTCCTCCTCCTCTTCTTCCTCCTGGTGCTTCCACCTGTCAAACATCTTCAGGCTTCTGTCAGTGTGTCACAGTCGGTATCTTCCTTCCTGCTGTTGTGTCGTCTTTCATTTCATGTGTGAAGCTCTGTGGCCTTTTCCTGCTCTGCTCGGGTTCGTCGTGCATTCAGTTAATCTGCTTCAGGGACGTGCAGCACTAATAATAAATAGAGAGAAGCCGGCTCTTTCTTATTTGAAAGACTGGCAGTGCAGTGGGAGTGAAGTGAACAGTTGGATACTCCTCAGGTCGTCCCTGTGCCGGCTGCTCACCTCTTAGCATGCAGACTTGATGTGAGTGGATCCAGTGCATGCACAGCTGTCGGGATGAATCACGGTTAAGCGCGGCCCTGCCCTCGCCCCGGTTAGAGATGTCTGGCCCTGACGTGGTGGCGTCTCCAAATATAACTCTTGTTTTTTGTGAATCGACAGAGACAGACATGAACAAACACACAGAGAGAGCAGCAGTGCACTCGAGGGCAAGACTGGCATTTCCCCCCATTCCCCATTTTTATTTTCCGCCACCCACTGTTCTGCTGCTCGTTAACCTGCTTCCCTAACGAACACATCTTTCCTCGACGGTCACAATTATCCCTGGCAGCCTCTAGTTTTCTCTTCTGTCCTCAGAGCGTCTGAATCAACTCTCTTTTACCTCGTCTGGGGATTTCCATCTTCTCTCCTCCTTCCTCTAACTTCACTGTGTGTCCTGTGTTTAAAATGTGTCGTTCTGCGTCTTTATGTCTTTGTTGTTGTTTCGCTTCCTGCACGAAGTAGATCCTCTCATCTCTCCATCTGAGTAAAACTTACTCTTCTGTCTTGTCTCTGTTTTGCCTCCATGCAATTTCAGAAAATGGGAACCATCAGCTTCAGTTTTCTTTTTTCTTTTAGTGCTTTTGTATTTTATTAAACTTGTTGATTTATATCCAGAACATATCTTCGCTGTCCTCCGGCCTCACTGTGAACATGTTGCACTAACTCATTCGTGCATGTGTGTATTACTCACTTCATCGCTGCATTGATCCAGTCCTCCTGCATGGCATGGATTTATTCTATAAGTTTCTGCTTTTCACAAATACTGGAACCTTGATTGATGAATTATAACCGAGCCTCTGTGCTGCCTGGTTTGTGTTTCTGCAGCATTGTCAAGACAATTAACTCTTAATTAACAAGAACAATTCAGTTAAATGTCAGATAATAGTGAAAATTCAGCACTTAGAGACATGTTAAAATGTTTTATCTGTTAAATGACACAAAAACAAACAGCATTAAATATTTATCACTAATCTTCCTCCTGCTGGGACTTAAGTTAATAAATAAATCTCACATTTGCGTCTGTTGAACTTTACAATTTATTTTTGCACCGAGCAGAGACTGGATTTGGTCCTAATGTAGTTTCCCTGCAGCACCATCATCTTTACAGCCTTTATTGAGAGACGATTACACAAACCAATAACTTACAGTGCAGCTATGTCGTGAGCATGTTGCACTGAAATTTGATGGATCGTTTTCTGTCGGCAGTCTTTTCTCTTGAGGTGCGTTGAATCGTTATTTCCAGAATGAGGGACGTGCTGCAGCAGCGACATCAGCTCAGCGTGTCCGCAGAGCAAAGCACACACTGCTGCATGCATCACAAGTTAATCGGATTTGCAACAGCGCAGAAAACACACACACACAGACACACACACACACACACATTCATCTTAGCTTCAAACTGAAACTATAAAGAAACTCGTAACGGACACAGAAGCTGCAGTGAAACAGTTAATTGGCAAATCAATTAATATTTTGGCAGAATAACTGAGTATATGAATTTGTTTATGACGGAATAAGGTCAAACAGTAAACTGCTGCAGGATTTGATGCTTGGATGAGAATCTTTCACCATTTTCTGATATTTATCGACAAAACCAGCCAATTAAAAAAATGATGAATTGATGATGATCACATATTTAAAGCTCTAGCGTCTTTATTCCAGTTGATTAACAAAACCATTACAAATATATATATATATATTATTATTATCATGTTATTCTTTAGATTTATTCTTATATAATAATCATCTTAAATCCACCGAGTTTCACTGAGCTGTTGCTAATTTGTTCCCGGTTTCCCCCCCCCCCCCCCTCAGCGACTGGTGAAGATGAACATGCCCATCGCCGATGACAACACGGTTCACTTCACCTCCACGCTCATGGCCCTGATCCGCACAGCCCTGGAGATCAAGCTGGCATCTGGTGAGACACTGAAACCACAGAAATCACCCAGCATCCCTTTGGGCAGCACTGGCAGCTCTGATGTTAATGTGAACACCGGGGGAGGGGGGGGGTCACTGTGGTGCATATTTGATATGACAGTGATGTGTGGGTGCGTCCTCAGGGGTCCTGGCGCAGCATTTGTGCGACGCTGACCTGAAGAGGGAGTTGAACCGAGTCTGGCCGAACCTGTCGCAGAAGACGGTCAACCTGCTGGTGACGCCTCATAAGTGTGAGCCACGGTTTCCTCTCCTGTGTCGACTGTTTCCTGTTTGCTTTTTCTCACAACGTCTTTTGATTTCTCCATTTTTACTTCTCATTCGTCTCCACGAGTCACGAGTCCTGGTTAGAATATTGTGTTTCTTTTGAACAAATTCAAAAATCCGCAGCGTGAATCCGACACGAATAACAAGAAATGTGTAAATCAGGATGAAACATTTGATTGATTTATAATTCTCGGTTCTCAGATCTCTACGTGTCTTTGTTTCTCATCTGGTGCCATCTACTGCCCTGATGAGGGAACTGTTCTCTGTCTCCTCCCTCAGACAACGAGCTGACGGTGGGGAAGGTCTACGCTGCTCTCATGATCTTTGACTTCTACAAACAGAACCGAGCCAAGAGACTCCAGCAGCAGCAGCATCCTGCAGGGGGACCTCAGGTACATCGAAACAAACAAACTCCAAACATTAAGCACAAGTGAAACGATCTGTTAAAAGTTAAAAACCTGTAAAATCCTAACTCAGAACAGATTCACACGAGCACAAGAAATAGAAGTAGTTCAAACTAGTTAAAACTAGAGCCGAACTTATTATTGACCATTGATTTGAGCCTTTTCTCAGATATATCAGTATTTTAGTTTTTATTTAACAACCATCTAATGAAGAATTAATATAAATGAAAAGCAATAATCCAGAGGAGTTCTCTTTATTTCTGTCTCTCTGTCCTGCAGAGTAAAATGGGGGCGTTGTTCCGTCCTGTGCTGCCGCTGACTCACATACAGGAAGTAGAACCTCGGATCTGCAGCCCCAAACAGCCCCTCCCTCCCCAACCTGAGCCGGAACGTACGCCAGAGGTCCCGCCCATTACTGCCATCACCGCCGCCACGTCCGCCACGTCGATAAACAGAGACGCAATGTGAGAAACATACAGAAACACATGATGAAGACTGTTGTTGTTGTTGTTGTTGTTGTTTCTCATGTGCGCGGGGGAAAGATGCTCTGATCATCGTCTGCAGGCTCAAACGTAGATGATGATGATGATGACGAGGATGATTCTCCTGCTTCTCTTTTCCTCGCTCGCGCCACAGAATAGTTGATGAGCCGCGTTTCTTCTGTGCATTTCATGCCACCGGTCAGCAGGCGTCATCGATTGTTACCATGGAAACGTAGCTCTCGCTGCGGAGCTGGCCTGCGGGGTAGAGAGGCTGAGAAAAAGCCGTCCAGAGGCTCTTTTGTGAAACTGATTGTGGTGTCTGAGTCAGAGCCCCTGAACGTTTGATTCCAGGTTGAACCGGAGGAGCGGCATCAAACACTCACAGTCCGGAGACGTCGCTCAGGCGGCGCAGAGACCCAGAGGTCCGAGGAAACTGCAGAGGGGTCAGTCAGAGGATGTGCCGTATTACACCAGACCTCAGGTACAAACACCAAGAGAATCAATCATATAATCCTACTTTCTGTGAAGTCCGTTCATGATTCCTCCTCCTCCTCCTCCTCCTCCTCTTCTCCTCCTCAGGAGTTGGTTGAGCTGAAGCAGGTGGAGAACCTCTCAGACTCGGAGGGATATCCCAGCCTGGAGGGCCACTGCCGAGCGGCCTCTCTCCCCAGACTCAACGCCGAGTACTACGTAAGGTCTCCGCGGCTCGTGACGCCGCGCTTCCTGTTTTTACAGCTGCTTTCTTTAAAGTCGATAATCATCGGGTTTAGAAAACAAGGACACTGGACACTGTAGATTTATTTTAACAAACGGCGGAGGAGGGGAACATCAGACAGGGAAATATATTTTTTATTCAACAGCTTGAACTTGTTGTTTTCACACTCAAAATGCTGGTTCGTGAAGTTTTTTTAACTTCTATCAGCTGTTTCCTTTTCTCCTCCAGACTTGAGAGTCCCAGATATTGAAATATTAAAAAGACTGGAGCCCTGTAGGAAACACTCACAGGCTTTACTTACTTTACTTTACAAGTTCTACAGTGTGCAAAGAATCAAATAGTTTTCATCTGTAAAATTATGATCTACAATTGACGTGAGAGCTAATTTTTGTACGGCTATTTTAATCCTTTTGTCTTTTATGAATTTCACTTTTCAAGTGTCTCTCTCTCTCTTTTTGACTGTGACTCTGTGGCAGTAGCTGCTCTTGTCTGCCGAATTCATTTCTCTGAGTTTCCTGGACCGTGTCACGTTTACCTTCACTCTGTGTTGTTGTCTGTCTCCTGCTTTGTCCCACAAACACGTGACATTATGTTCATGTATGTTTATGTTGCATTTTGATCTCTCTCTCTCTCTCTCTCTCTCTCTCGCTCTCTCGATCTCGCTCTTTAAAGGATAAACACTTTTTCGTTCGTTCACACATCAGCTGATATGAGCCTTTCATTATGTTTCTCCTGATATAAATAATTAACACAATAATTGATGTAGAAAGGATCTTTAAAATCTATATATTTTCTTAATTGAAGAATTTTATTTGATTAAGTTTGATTGAATCTCAGATATTTTTTAAAACAGCTGAACACTGTAGATTATAGAAAAGTCAGTCAGAAGTTAATGTAAAAATACAGAATAACACCAGTCTTATCCTCCTCTTCCTCTCCTCTTCCTCTCCTCTTCCTCTCCTCTTCCCTGTCTTCCTGTCTTCCACTGCCCACTGCTAATGTTTTGCCCACCTCCCTCTTGTGTGTGCTGTCTGATAGCGGAGCCACCCTCGCCACGCCCCTGGGACCCACCTGGCAGTATGTACCACCTGTTGTGCCCCCTCTCTCTTTTTCTTTTCCTCCTCCTCTTCCCCCTCTCCTCTCATGTGTGTGTGTGTTTCTTCTCATCTCAGTGCAGAGCTCACACCCTCCGACACATTCACATCACACACCGGTCATTCCATGCAAACGCAACACACACTAATTTACAGAAAACACAAATCATATCCAGATTCAACCCCTGGACGATTATACACGTGTGTGTATCCGGATACGTCGAGCACATTTACCTCGTACAAGACGACACTTTGGTGAAATGTGGTTGTGTGTTGTTGTGTAGTAAAGTAGTAGTGTGTAGTTATTTTGTGAGTCGGTGTGTGACTGTGAAAACAAGGCAGAGAGAGGGCTGCTGCTTTCCTGCTTTGAAATAACTTTTCTTTCACTGAACAACCAACTTTCAACCTCTTCTCTGTCATTTAATGTTTCTGTCAGTCTTAAAATCTTATTCAAACACTAAAACAAAACCAAACAAGGTCATAAAAAAAGACTCTTTTACTCCCTCGTGGGAGGTATCATTATTTCTTATAGTTAGATTTATCTATAAGGTAAGATTTTAAGACTGTGTTCTAGATAAAACAACGTAGTAACATGAATATTTCTTGCAGTGTTGTGATATCGTTATCTGTGAGTGTAGCTGCAGGTGAGACTGTGGGGGGGGGAACGAGAGGAACGGCACAAAACCGTAATCTAAAATCTTCTATTATATTTCAAACCCTCAACACCTGTATAATTAGGTTTAATTATATTATATTGAAGAACTCTATTTATGCTTCTCATGCATATATTTATATTTTATTATAGAGTTGCTGATTTTTGGTATTTGTTTAGTTTCTATTTAAACCCACAGACACGATTTGATTCAAGGATGAAACTTGAAGTAAATTAAAAGTACTTTTGTTTTAATAAAGTTCTTGCATTTGAACCTTAGATCCTGAATTGCACATTATACAGGTTTTAAAGCTTTTATATATTTAAAAGTACTACTCAGTAACCAGCAGGGGGGGCTGTATCTTAGCTGCTGTTCCAGTTCCTTATCCCAACAGCCGCACTGGTCAGAAAGCTCATAATCAGGTGGGGTGAGTGTCAGTGACCTCAGAGAAAATCAAAATTGATTTCAACACAAAGTGTTAGAATAAATATGAATCAGTGTAAAACACATCATTAAGATTACAAGAGGCCAGTGACATCACTCCACCTCTTCTCTGTTCACTAGCAGCGACGCCTGCTAACTTACAAACTGTGTAAGTTCTGTAACAAGAAGTTTTCATTCTTCTCAAACGTTTCTCACATTTTCCTGGAGAAGAACGGACTAAACATCGTCTTTAGACTAAAGGTCGCCATCCACTGGTTGTGTCGTGTGTGTGTCGTGGATATTTGGGCGATCCAGTACAGGTGGTTTGGGTGAAAACACCTCAGCCGCTCCGCCGCTCTACTTTCTCACCACACCTCTCCGCCTTCTCTCGTCCCCTCGCAGCCGATCGTCGACCTCAGTCCCATCAGGCGCTCGGCGTCCTCGCTGACGCCGCAGCGCCACCAGGAGGACGGGCTGAGGGAGTACGACCTGGAGCGGCTCGGCCTGGCTCAGGCCTCGGCGGTCCAGGGTCAGGATCGAGCTCACCACCATCACCACCACCACCGCTGCCATCGACGCAGGGACAAGGACAAAGACAAGAAGCAGAAGTCCCTGGACAGAACGGCGTCTGTTCATCCGTCCAGCACCATCGGTGAGACAGAAATGAAATGTACACATCTTCATTAACTCGTCTGAAACAGAAATGATTCGTAGACACACAAAGATCACAGGGCTTTCCTCGCACGAATTCTTTATAGGATTAAAATTCCACGATCAGGTTTTGCACAGAGGGTGACAGAGGTTCTGCTGCAGGGATTTTACACGTCAGGCTTCTCGGCCGATTAACAGAGAGACAGAGCCGGGAGCTCTCGGGGGAAAATCTGCTTTCCTGGGGATTTATTTCTTCTTCTTTATTCCCTTTGTTCCCTCTGACCTGGATCGTCACTTTCGTACAGCCTGAACTTAGAGCTGCAACACGCAACTGAAGAATGTTGAATTTCTACTTTTTTTGCTCTCTAAGAACCAAAGATCACCACAACACACCAGTAAACACACATTGTCCAGCACACGTAAACCCCCGGCGGCGTCTCCGGCCACGATTTGCCATGAATGAGGTGACGTCTGACACTCGGCGAACTCTGAGGTGTGAAATTTACAGAAATAAAAGCGGTATCTGCAGTTTCGCTCTGGAGTGACATCATCTGCTGCTGAGGTGCAACAAAAATAAGTGATTTTGACTCGTGACATCATTTCTCTTTAAAGATCTGTTCCTATACGTCTTTAAGACGAAACCTTGACATTCTGCCTTTACAGTATTTGGCTGTGGACAGACAGAAATAATGTCCTGAAAAAAAAAAAGGCACGACACACAAGAGGTGAGACTTTGGCATCAGATTCGAACCTGAGAGCTGGTGACCGGGTGTTTTAGTTTGTGTTAACACTGGAGGGCAGCAGCTGGACTTTACTGCAGAGAGAAACGTCCACAGCAGATAGATTGATGGGAACCTCAGCAGAAGATTCAGCCGCCCGCTCTGCATCTATTAAACTGAGAGGAACGGCATCAGACCCTGAAAGCTCGTCATCCTTCCAATCCGACGCATCAGGAAGATGAATGGGCTTCTGTGTTTCTGTCGTCGCAGTTTTAATCTGGAAACTGGAATTATTCCAGCGCAGAAGAAAGTGACTCCACCACAGTGCTCTGCTTTATGCCCCACACCGAAGGTCCAGAGAGAAACACACATGCAATTACTGGATCAGTCATTTCCCTTTAATTAAAAAGTGGGATTAAACATGAAGGCTCAGTATTTCACACTTCAAAAACTGTAGATATCACAGAGCTGCGATATCTGACGTGAAAAACTCTCCAGTAAAAAAAAATCATTTAATCCTATTTATAGTAAATTGATATTTGTGATGAAAGTGACGGCTGCACGACAACATTTGTTTCCACCTGCCTTTCCATCAATTCATTTGTGTTCGTCCAGATTCGTTCACCGACCCTTCAGCTGAAGGTTTGTCCAGAGAACGAGCGAGGGAGCGGGACCGCAGCCGGCCTCACGAGCGGAGACACCACTCCTCCGCCGGAGAGAAGCAGCGCTACTACTCCTGTGAGCGTTACGGCAGCAGGGAGCAGTGTTACGCCCGGTCGGCCGGCCCCAGTAGATCCACGTCGCCCGGTGAGGGTCAGGACGCCGGTTTGGTTAAACAGGTGAGTTAGCAAACTTTTCAAGGGGCGTTTGGTTTCTCAAGGATCGATGGAGGTAATTTTGTCTCGTCTTGTTTTCTCAGTATGGTAGCAACGTGGGTAAAGCTGGTACCGTGGCGCTCCCATCTGGTTCGAGCACGCCAGGCCGTAGTCGCAGGCAGCTGCCCCAGACGCCCCTCACCCCTCGTCCTGCCGTGACCTACAAGACCGCCAACTCCTCACCTCTCCCGTCCGGCGCCAGCAACACCACAAAAGGGCACCAGACGCGCTTCAGCCGTGGCCTTTCAGAGCACGACCGCTTATTCGGGGACCACAACGAGTCCCCGATCCCGGTCACCCGCATCGGTTCGGACCCTTATTTAAACCGGCAGCTGCAGGACGCTTCTCAACAGGCCCTCCTTGAGGAGACCGAGGACTTGCAGGACGCCGTGCGCAGCCATGCCAGAACCACTGCCTCAACTACAGCCTCCGCTTCGCACGGTACTGCCGCCGCGGCCGTCACGATGCCCGTCTCGCAGGCCCGGGCGGCAGTGGTGGCAAACGGGTTCCACTTCACCCTCGGGGTCAGCTCCGTGTCCGGGCCTGGGAGCAGAGGAACAGGAAGTCTCAGGGAGAGGGAAGACGAGGACTGGTGCTAACATGGCGGAACACTTTGGGGCGATGTTGGCGTCGGGGCTGTAAAGCGCTCGTGCCAGAGGATCGATACCGAAGGAACCCGCGAGATGGAAAAGTGCTGTAAAAGGGGATCAGAAATCATTCCAGCTTTGTGGTGTTGCTCTCCTTTTTTAAAGAACAGAAAGACTCTGATGACGTTTTGTAACCCCCCTTTACTTGCACTGAAATCATAGCACATGTGAAGACCCTTAAGTATTTTTGCCTTGGCCAGTAAAATCAGTGTTGGAGCAGAAGACAAAAGCCAAAATTTCCTTATTCTAAAAAAAACCCTCATTCCTGGTGTCAGCACGACTGCTCACAACGTTTCGATCGTCACTGTACGTTTTGTTTTGATTACGTTTGCCAACAGTTAACAGTTTTTACATTTAATTTCTTCGTCTTTAACTGTTCAGGTTTTTTTTTTTT